TATAATATGTTGTTTGTATTTTATTATTATTATTCTTATTACTATCATAATAAAAATGATATTTTGATATCTACCATAACAAAGCTTTAAACAAAATCACAATTTTCTTCTAAAAACGTTTTATTAATTAATAATTAATGATAATTAACTATAATTTATAGTTCTTAAAAACAATTACCTAGATAATATAAACTTTAATAACCAAGATTATTTAAATATAATCATTATGAAATCAAATAACCGGATAATCAAATAACGTGTAGGTACTGCATTACATACACGGCCGCATAATGCACAAACTAAGATAATATCTCAATTCGTGCAATGATACACAATAAGCATCCTTAGATCATCGATGTTTTTATATTGGTACTAGGCACTAGCTCCGAGGGCAAGAAGAACTATAAAGATTTAAAACTAATATGTTTATCCCTCTACCTAAGCGTCTTAATTTATATATTATTATAACAACGCGATGTAAAAAATTTAAATAATTTGTGTCTATTTCCCTCGATAGCAAACCTTCACGAATCGCGATGTATAATATAATAGTTACCTAATATCATAAGCGATTAACCTATTAATATTAAACAAGTTACCAAAATTCTAACGAATAGGTAGGTATCTACTATCAACCAATTATCTGGTGCATAAACCTTTATAATCAGACATCAGTTATAGGAAAGTGTAAATATTGCAAAATGATGTCTACATATTTGCGTGAACACAGTTAATTATACTATAGGTACCTATACAATTGGTATTTTTTATTGATATATTTAACATATTATAATTTATTATAAATCGTTTATCATCTATTTAATCATGAACTATTCATTAATCAGTAATCACTATCATCATTCTTAGTTAATAGTTTTTAAAAATTGTATCCATCTGCAGGCAGCTTCCACGGGCTAAATACCCAAGTCTAAAAAAAAACTCGCATCTATCTACGATAACGTAACTATCTAAAATTCTAAAATATCACAAGATCTCCAATTTAATAAACCTAATAACGTCTTGTGTGTACATTTATCAGGAAAATTATCACTATAGATATTTATATATAATAATAAGATTCCGCATTTTACGATTTAAGTACCCATTTTTTTCTTAATTTTTATATGCGAATAGCATGATTCATTTTTAAATCAAACAAATTAATTTTCATTCTATATAATATTTATGTATGATATATTCAATTTATAAATGATTAGTTTATTAGGTATGTATAATGTATATTGTATGTATATATCAAACTCATATAATATATATTTGTTTATGGGTATATCTATAGGTGGTAAAGAAAAGAATGGACATCCCCCCTTACTATAGTCTATAATAAAGATATTATAACCGAAAAAATGTTGCAAAAATTCAAAATATGCATTCTATTAAACAATAATCTTATTATATGGTTTTGAAATAAATTAGGATAACCATTATAATATATTATTATGTTTGAAAAATTATAAAAAATAGTTAAATAAATACAATTTATTAATAATAATGAAAAACAAATCAAATACTACTTAGGTATATTTACTATTTAGGAAAAAAAATCAAGTTATGATTGTCATAAATGCATAATGATAATTTTCCCACTCCCTCTGAAAATAACTAGATAGGTTAGTTAGGTACTCGTCGTAAAAATCACACACACGCACAATATAATATGCATAGCAGGTTTATATTTAAACTTTAAAAAGGAAACGAAGGAAACTGGAGTTAGATCAAGTTAACAGATTTTGTAAAATTAAAAAAACTCTATTTAAATTTTAACTAAAAAATAGAGATATTTTAATCGCTCACCTTATCCATGACGGCGCCGGCAATACGGAAAAAACACCAAGCGACGGGCGAGCGTTTGTTTTGCATGTCAAAACCAATCTGTTTGGGTTCAATCCCTTCTACAGTACGAGCTATTAAGTTTCCATTTATACTTTCGTACCTTTCCATAAGCAGCAAGGTACCGTGTGTTATTTATTTTTTTTTGCATATTTTTTTCCTAAATCGCTATTTTGCATGTCAAACAAAACAATACTTGATAATAAAAATAATACACTGCATTCATTCCGCTGTGGCGCTGTGTGCATATATTGTGCGCCCTTTATTAACAATAATTTCAACTTCGTAAAACGTTATAATTACAAAAATTATATGGATATAAAATGCATTACTTGATTTTTATTTTCAATCGTCCAGMGATTATTTTACATGCTTATTTCCTTAGAAAATATAATAGTTGACCCATTTAATAGAGCATGAATATTATTAAATTCTGTTTATATAATCATGTGTGTTCGTACTTCATTGGGTTTATTGGAAACGCGCAAGTCATTGTGGTGAATGCACTACAAGTGTTTATATTAAAAATAAAAAAATAAACACAATTTTAGATTTAATACTCCTCCCCGTGGTAATGTGAAGTACATTAGTATATACTACCCGTAACCCGTTGCTTTTTATATTCCTAATTATATATATATAATAAAATCGTATATTCGTTGGTGTTTAACTATGAATTATGATAATGGAATGTTATGACATATTATTGACATGCCTACATTTAAATACACATCATACATTTTATTTAATAATATCAGACCCTCTCGGGCCTCTCCCATTGGATTTTTTTTGTTTTTGCTTAGACTATATTGTATAGGAGGATAGGACGCAATGTAATATAATATTTTGTCATATGATCAATCGATATATTGAATTTTGACAAATTTGTAAATACTGAATAACATCATAATTTTACTTTCGTTTATTTATATCAAAATAATGTTTATTTGGTCGAAATGGTTGATGACAAATTGACAACTATGATTATACTTTATTATACCTCTCATTATTTAAAGAAACAACACTATAATATAATATGTATGTAAATTCGACTAAATGGGCTATGCTTCCACTGTACGTCTGTATTTAAAATGTTATAGAATATTATCGTTGTTACTAGTTATGAGAATATCTGAATATGAGATCATTATCGCTACGGGTTCAGTTCAAAGTTGTGACTTTGTGGACTGTGGAGTATTGGAGTGGATAATCTTCTGACTTCCATATTCTGTTTGAGAACAAGGTGTTTTATCCTTATATAGTAAAACCTCTATATAGCGGACTCTCTATTAAATGGAATCCTCCTTATAACGGAAAATATCATTAGTCCCGGTGAAAATATTATATGCAATTTCTACCTCTCTATAACGGAAAAATATTTGATCCTAAGCGATTCCGTTACAGAGAGCTTTTACTGTAAACATGAAGCAGGGATGATAGTCAGGTATATGTGTAATTTAATGGTGCAAGTTTCAAAACGATCACATAGTTGCTACATTTTAAATTAATTTTTAAGCGTAAAATTTGCAAAAAATGACAGATGATTCCTCGCGATTCGATCAAACTCCAACCGTCTTCTATTGTACTACGGGCTTTTCAAGTGTTAAACATACAATTTCAGAGCGGATAGCCTACAGCATACCAAATCAAACTGTGAAGGTATCAAGACATCAACTCGATAGCGTTGTCCTACGATTTTTAATGAATTTTTATATAAACGGGAACCGTCAAAATTCGCAATACCGGGTTAACAGGGTACCTATACACTATACACTGTATACCAAGTCTTCATATTTAATAATTTAAAATTATAAACTGCTATCATATCAATTTGGATACCTGTCGCCTATGGTATCAAATCCTCAAGCTTTTTAACCAAACGAATACAATTATATTGATATTTCTAGAATAAAAACTAAAAAATTTCAAATTTCAAATGTCTACAATTAACATAAAAATATAAAAAATATTATATCAAGTATAGAAAATACCAGTATAAACTTACAATGAAAATATCATGTGCCTATAGTGTGTCTACGGTAATTTGTTTTATGCCATGTCCTATGAGAATCTACCAATGCTAGATGCGACGCCATGGCAATTGGCCATATTATTCTGTCGCAATACGATGCGTCCGATGCAACAAAACACAAACTGTTTTGTTTTTTGATGCGTTGGTCGGATTCGCGTAGGATACGACGTTGGAGTTACAGTTATTACACCAATATTTAAAATCGATTTTGCGTAAACATTTCCAGCGCTTTTGAAAACTACTGAGAATTTCAACATCCCCAATACACTAATTATACATTCACTTTCCCACCGGAAATGCAACTAAAGTTGAAAATCGAAGCATTATTTCGATAAATTATTGTATACATAGACGAAAAAAAACACACACATTTTAAGATCAATTGATCATTGCTTCTCTCAGAATCTAAAATTGGAAACTTAAAACAGGTAAAAATATTTTGAAATTTTTATGGTGTATAGAAAATGCTAATATAAACATTCAATGAAAATTTGATGTATCTACGATAATTTGTTTTAGAGTTATACCAAATATATTTTATATGATTACACAATATCACACATACATTGTTTATTTAAATTATAATTATAAATGAAATTATCTTTACCCTGTGAGTTGTGTTATATTTTATAGCTGATCAGTAGACAATGAGAGTAAAACCAATTAACTCATTAAAGCCAAACACCCTTTTTATTAATTTTCATTAACACATAGAAGGAAAACCTAAATACATTACAATTTGTAAATATTCTAAATTTTCTGTTCAACCACTGCATATCAAAATTAAATGTTACAAGTTATTTAAGAAATTGAATATAATTCAACATTTTAACTTTTTACGATTATAAAAACACATTTTTGGGCATTTAAGTAATATTTATTTTATACTTATACATCACTTAAAACATTAAACTATGAGATCATTAGAATACATTTATAAAAAAATATTAACAGAAAAAAAATAAATATTATATTACATTCACATTAATAATATAAAATTAGATTTAAGTATTAAATTAAAATTTATTGTGACAAAAAAACAATTATCTTTTTATATAAATCATATTTAATAATTACAATCATTAAGTATATACTTCATATATATATATATATAAAAATATAATATGATTAATCAGACAATAATTAAATATTAAATCATTGGTGGTAGGTCTACTTTACTCTGCTTGTGAGCAAATGTTAAAAATGTTAGAGATGATACTGCACTTACTAAAAATATTACATCAAACCAGCGATGGTAAAAACTAAACTGTAGATCACCAAGTACTTCTGTAATAATAGCTCTATACTCAGCTGGCATGTTCATACGCATTAATAGTACAGACGATACAAAATACATACCCATAAGTTGAGCAAATATTAATACAATAATATTTGATGATTTACTGCTAGAAAGTGCATAGAAAAACTTAGTTAAAGTTAATAGGAGACCTCTTATTGATGTGAATGCAATACAGCCAACCAATAAAAATGACACATGTTGTGACCAAAATGATACATCAACATCAATGCCAACTAATTCAACTAAAATCTCCATTCCCCTTGTAACTGGATCTTTTTTGCCAACTCTTTGTAACATTATATTTAATGTGGATATGATTATTTTCCAGACACAATATAACGAGAAAAAATAACCTAAGAAATTGAAGTATTTTCCTTTCCATGTTTTGGCCCAAGCAGTACGCTCCAGAGTGTTGTTCAGATCGTGTGTGTCCAAAAACAAATGTCTACTAAGTTCTTCTAATGCTTTAATATCACTTTTAATTCCCCTTAAATCACTAGATACATTTGACTTGACCCTTTTTAAGATGTCCATAAATCCAAAAGTACTCACACCAGCATTAGTTTCTGCCAATAAAATTTTTTTTTTCTTAGCTGTAATAACATCTATTGTTTGAAGAAGTTGTTTTTCCACATTTATGACATCATCTCCAGTTACTGCTTTTATAAAATATGCCATCGAAGAATAAGGGTAGTTAACAGCACCAAAACCAGACAGTAATGCCATAACTGTTACACCAATCACGCCAATTCTGCTAATACAGTTTTCTATAAATAAATGGCCTTTTTTTTCTTGTGGTAACATAGGAAATGGGTCACCCATTTTCCAAAATAAGAATAAATATAATATCCAAATAACTGAAGCCAAAATTCCAACTTTCTTTTGAAAAAATGGATACATATTACTCAACGTAAAATAACATAAATAAAATGGTATAAGTACAACAACCATAAATAACATTTTGTAAAGTATTATATTCCAAAATATATAGCGAGAGCTGGGTTCTAGTACACCGACAATTTCGAATATGATTAATTCAAACATTGTACAGGATAAACAGAAAGTGACTGAGAATATAAGTTGAATTGTTTTGTGATGCACTTCATAGTCTTTAAATAGTTTCTTGACAAAATATACCCAACCACACATAAAGAAAACAGTCTGTGATAAGAAAATCACAAAAACATCAAACACAAAATGTGTACTGAACTCCATATTGACAGTTGATGTTAATTTAATACAAATGATTTACATTTACATTTCTATTTTGTTATGTGGACATTATTTTCTGCATCATCCCAGCATACGACATTGTATTCATATAAACCATATTAGTATGAATGAGGTGGRCATACTAACACTACAATAAATCAAGAAAAAACAATATTAACTTTCAAATTTGTGAGAATAAAAAAAATATACTATCAACACAAATGTTACAGTAAAATAGTAAAGAACACATATTTATAATAAATAGGTAGGTACTTATTAAATAGATATCTACAAATATAAAAATTCAATTATTAAACCTAAATATCCAAGTTTCTGATAAAAAGATGGTATTGATTTTCAGTTTAATAAATAATTTTTAATATATTTGTTTTTACTGTAATGATTTACAAGGATTGAAAGAATTTTTTATAATTACAATACGTAGTATAAGTATATAATGAATGCCTCACCTAATAATAATACGATCTTAAGGCTTCAATTAAAAACGTATGTTAATTTCCAATAAGCTTCATTGTTTGAAAATAAGTATCTAAATTTTTAGTTTTTCTATTATTAAATAAACATAAAAATCTGGTAAACCGTACTTCAGTTTTATACAAAAATCAAAATAAGTAATAACTCAAAATTTAAAATTGTACACGTAAGTTTATCCGTAATATGATAATAATATCTTTATGTTATTAATTTTTGATAATTCTATAACTCTTTTTTATCAAAAATTTTAAGTATGAAGACTAGAGATAAGGAGGCCAAACTCTGCTGGCCGCCTGCACAAAAATCATAAAACATCGCACAATAATTTCTCCGCCAGTCTGCGCGGCGGTCAAAGCCGAGGCTGCTTGGAGTATAATTAACCCATATTGGATATACTTGACTTTATTAACTTTAAAAAATTATAATTAGAAAACTAAAAATCGTATTAAAATTATAATTTCATCATCGTATTCAGGGCAAATTTATCTTAGTTTATGATCTAAGATTTTAAGCATAGACAATATTATTGCTATGACTAGAATACTAGATAGTACCACCATTTATTCATTAATAGTACATCAAGTTGATCAACTGGGAACACGAACTTAGTTAGATATCTTAGTATTCTCAGTCCATAACTGAAAATAAAGCATAGATCGTCCTATGTAGAACTATAAAAGACTTATTTAAATTTATAGATATTTTTTAGGGCTATGGAGTTAAGAGATATCTAAGTTATAAGGGTTCGATTATTATTGATAATAATATTTATTACTCAACACTAAAATAATAAGAAATTAAAAAATAAGTTTTAATTTTTATGTATTTCTAAAATGTATTAGCTCAAATTTTTTATCAAACATAAGTACATATTTTATTGTAATTTTTTTAATACAAAGGCCTCTTATAATTTTATATTTTTGTCTCTTCACCAAAAAATACCGGGAATCCTTATGGAGCCAGTATGGGCGAGTATAGGATTGTCCTATCTACGGTCTTAGAAGACAAGGTCGAGACATAAGGCACTTCCCTTTTAATAACTTAAATTAGTCAATTAGGTCGCTTAGAGAAGATATATTAGTGGTTTTTCATTGCTATGTTATAAGCCACTTCAAACAGGACTTTATTCAGATTAAATATAAAATTTTAAACATTTTAGCGTAAAACGAAGTTAATTGATATCACAAAAAATTATTATGGTAATTGAAATATCATATTATATGTATAAAAACATAAAGCCATAAATTGATGTTTATTTATAAACATATATGGAAATAGAAATTATGTTAATATCACTGTTATTACTTCCTTAATTTAGAATTTAGTTTTCATAAACATATTAATTAATAATTGTTAATAGTAAAATAAATGCTATGATTACTTATCATGTCTTAGATTATACTATTTTTAATATGAATATATTTTTATTAGGCAGGTAAGAAGTATGACTAAGACCCGATTTTTCAATATGATTTATTCGTTGAATAACTAAAGTTATTTATATAGTCCCAGTAGAATGTAAAAAGCATAGACATAATAATAATATTATTGTMTATGGTAAAAACTAAATAATGGGAAAGTTGGGTTAATGTTCTAAATACTATTTTACCATAGTACCTAGTCCCAGTATCATTTAACATACATCAAATTTGTATAATAAAGTAAACATGTTCAAATACTTTATAAAGACATATTATCTGAATATAATCTTTGATATCCAGTTTCAAAAATTTAAATGTTCTTAATTAAGTTTATAAGACAAATTTAATTAAATACTGAATGTCAGTTTTATTTTTTTATGATAAAAGTGTTTTTAATATGGAAAGTTATTATAATTTACATACATTTGAGAAGATAAAATCATTTTTCAAATATTTATCAAATTAAATATAAAATAAACTGTATTTCTAGTAGATATTACGGATACTTTTTACAATATTACAAAGTATAAAAGTAAGGTTTAATATGTATATAATCGTAATAATAGAAATGCTATTGTTTTATTAATGACAATAATCATCGTTTTTGTTAACACTTTAAATACATCTCTTACAGGCATGATATAGTGATACAATATCTCAGCTTACAAATACAATTATTTATATTGGTTTATAATCTAATTTAGATTCCAAATTTTTATTATCTGATACTTTTCTGACAGCKTTCATGAAATCTTCATGAGTCACATAGTCTTTTTCAGCTCGTATAGCAAAGAGACCAGCCTCTGTGCACACATTACGCAAATCAGCACCATTAAAATTATCGGATAATTTTACGATAGCTTCATAGTCTAAAAAATAATAATTTTAAATAAAATACATTTTGTTTATAAATTATGAACAGCGCATCTTTTAAAAAAAAATTATAATGTATAAGTAAAAAAAAAAAATACTTTAGGTTTATACTTTCGATTAGTGAATAATCATTTAACTGGTGAAAAATTAAATTGCATATTTTATTGTAAGTTAAATTTACTTATTATACCATGAAATACTAATTTGCGAATATTTAAAAAAGAAATAGAAATTTGTTGGTTTCAAATTATTTTTAAAAATGAAATTTATATACATATATACATATCATTGAATTTTTGCTGTAGTAGTGACTCCTTAGATCATATACTATGAATAGAGGCTCAGTGTATTATACCAATACAAAAGAATGAAGATGCTGACATAAGCGATGGGTCATTGAATTAGGTGTTCGATATGCACATGTGCGATTAATTTGTCGCTTATTTATCCACATGTTATATTGTTATATTTTGACCTTGGGTACAGCTTATAGATAATTATGAAACAAAATAAATAGCGCATGCACATATCAAACACAATTTAGAGACTCGTCGCTAATATCGGCTTCAAAATAATACGCTGTAGCTCCATCCACAATTTATGATCTAGGAGTGACTACAATTATTGCTGATTTATGGTGTGAAATATATATCAAACTTCCCTTTTAATTACATATTATGTCGATAAATGTAAAGTAAATACAAACCAATTTCTCCTTGTTTAGTAATAGGAGCAGCGTGTATTTTCAAGATGTCTAAACGAGCTTGTTCATTAGGCAATGGAATTTCAATTTTACGATCCAAACGTCCAGGTCTTAATAAAGCTGGATCCAACGTATCAGGTCGATTAGTAGCCATGATCATTTTAACCTATTAAGTAATTACTATCAAAAATTACATAACTTTAAAATAAATATTAAACTATTACATACTTGACCTAATGAATCAAAACCATCCATTTGATTTAAAAGTTCCATAAGCGTTCTTTGAATTTCACGATCAGCAGATGTTCCTTCAGAAAATCGACGACCACCAATAGCATCAATTTCATCCATAAATATGATACACGGTTGATGATCTCTAGCATAGTTGAACATCTCACGAATGAGACGAGCACTCTCACCAATATATTTATCAACAATTGCACTTGACACAACCTAAATTAAAATATGTTTTTTACGTTTAAGAATTTAAATTATCAGAATAATGAGGTAATTCAATAACTACAGAGTAACTAATTAATTTTAAATTAATTTAATTGAATWTTATTTAAACATAACACAATATACCACACATTTAAACAAAACAAAAGAACATTGATTATCTGAGGTAATGGTGGGAAGTGGTCTAACAGATAAATGAAACCGTGATTAATCAAAATACAGGGCATTTCAATAAGGTTACTCGATGTTTTATTGTAAAAATGACAAGTTGTGTGTAAGATATTCACTCAATTTTTATTTTATTTTAATGAACGTCGTTTAAATAACTACTATAGCTTTGCTTGGTGGCACGTATTCAGAAGGTCCAATTTTCTATCACTTTGTCACATAAATCCAGTTGAATTTGCTAGATTGGTTTTGTTAACTTAGAAAGCATCAATAGTTTTTGGTTTATTTGCATAGACCTGTGATTTAAGATAGCCCAGAAAAAAAGTCTAAAGGCGTTAAATCGCACAATCTTGGAAGCCAGTTTATGTCGCTATTATGTGATATCACATGCCCTCAAATCGTTCACACAGAATATCCATTGTTGTACATAATTGTGTGAGGATGTGGCCGACATTTCAACGATATTATATTCCATACATAATAATATTGCTATATAATGTTCATTAAAATAAAATAAAAATTGAWTAGATATCTCACACACAACTTGTTTTTTGCCCAATGAAACATCGAGCGTCCTTATTGAAATACTCTATAGTTGCAAATTGCAATATTCAATGACCAAGTTAAAAACGTAAATAACATTTGTCAATAGAGTTTATTTGTGTGCAATATAAAACATTTGTCTGACCATAATAATAAAACTACTTGTAACACAGTTATCAAGGAAGTTTTGAGCACAGTTTATCGAAATTTTAATGTATTAACTGGTAACTTTGTTGTTTTGATATATATAATGATAATAAATAACTTACTTTTAAGAAATTGGCATCCAGTTGACTAGCTACAGCTCTAGCCAATAATGTTTTTCCTGTACCTGGAGGGCCATAAAGTAAGCAGCCTTTAGGAGGAGTTATTCCAACACGTTGAAACAATTCTGGATTTAACAACGGTAATTCAATAACCTAGAAATATTACTTTTACTAGACTGAATTAATACCAACATGAGAAAATAAAAATATATACTTCTCGCAGTTCACGGATCTGCTCAGATAATCCACCAATAGCTGAATAAGTAACTTCACCAGGATCTTCATGAGACATTTTATAAACCAATGGATCTACTTCACGTGGCAAATAACGCATTACGGTTAATGTAGTCATATCTAATGCCACTCGAGTACCAGCTTTTAATTTTGMTTTATCAAGTTGACGTCTACATCCAACTACATAGCGTGGGCCATTTGTAGCTTTTACAATAACTAGTTAATGAATATCATTATTAATTAATATTTTTACCATCATTTGAAATTTAAAGAAACTTACACTTGTCTTCAGTTAATTGCTTTAAAACTTCGCCTACAATCTAAAAATAATAATTTGAAATAAGTATTTAGTTTTTAGAGTGGATGTTATGTTTAACTTACTTGACCAACACTCTGGAGAGCCTTTAAGTCATTTTCAGATTTGTCATACTGTTTTGTAA